ACTCGGTCATTGTGGTCTACACTGTAGACTCTCTCGGGTTTTCATTGGCTGAGCTTTTGCATGCATCTAGTCCGACTGTCTTCCTAGTCCATTGTAGTCTGGAAGTGCCACCGAAATCTGTTTAGCATCATCTCATAATGACCCTCCAGATAGGGTAGACTTGCTCCTGTGGGCTTCTGAGACTGTAACTGTTTGCAAGAGTAGAAAGCCCTGTCTTTCTCCTGGAGAGCGGCTGGTGGTTTTGAACTGCCAGCCTTGTGGATTGCAGCCCAACTCGTAACCACTACGCCACCAGGACTCCTCTTCAGCATCATATCAACACACAAACTTCCACTGACAGTGGATGAACGTGAGGCACGCTGACCAGGAGTCAAAACCCAAGGCTGTTGATGGAAGACTGGATTGGACCACTGAGCTTCCAATGCTTCCTGCCAGTACAAAGGGGTCTTATTTCAGCAACGGGTGTCCCATGAATCAGCAAAGTTCAAAGTAGCAACTATCACAAGCAGAATCTCAAGTCCATGCAGACCTTCCCACATGGCAGTCTCACTCTGACACCCACCAAGCTCACAGAAGCCTCACGACCCTGCTGCAAAGCCAGCGCTGTTGCTCCTGTGTCAGAGGGGAGCAAATGGAGACCCTGGTGAGTCACTTGCCTGCGCTCATGCTGGGGCTTGGACCCAGTCTGTCATTCCATTTTCAATCACAGACACCTGACATGGGACACAGTGGAGCACAGGTGATTAAGGGGCTTAAAAGGGAGAATTGGGGAGAACAGACCAACAAGCCAAAGGCATGGAAGCGAATCTTAGAAGGCTAGAGACCAGAACATGGCGAGAAGCATTGGGCCATCAGGATTGAGGGTAAAGAAAGGGGGTTAGCTCGGCGACAGACTGATGAACTCCCACCATCGACACTCCTTGCTCCTTGTCCATCATCCCTTCCTGTCCAGTCATCCCCCACCTCACGGCGACGTCACATGCAGATGTGCACGCCGTAGGGCTGTCGGGCTGCAGCTTACAGAAGCCCCTCACCGGGCCTTTCTTCGGCAGCAAACTTGAGGCTCTAACCTTCCAGTCAGCAGTGGAGTGCACTCACCATTGGCGACACTCAAGGTCTCTGTTTTAAGGCTGTTGTTAGGAGCCAGGAGTCCATGTTTCAATTCACAGCAGCCCCGTGTGGTGGAGGTGAAGTGCCTCCTGGCTCTGTCTAAGCTGTCATTTTTCAGGGGGCAGCCGGAGGATCTGCACCCACTGCGCTACGGTTGGCAGCTGAGTGCTCCACTTCTGTGCCCCCAGGTCCTGTGGTGTTAAAGGTGTGTCATTGTCATGAGGTTCCATCAACAGGCTAGAACTGCCCCTGTGGGTCTCCAAAGCTGTGACTCTTTACAGGAGTAGAAAGCCTCCTCTTTCTCCCACAGAGTCGCCCGTCGTTTGGATCTGCTACTCATCCCAGTGCGTAACCACTGCACCACCAATCCATCTCCTGGAAGATTTGCCTTTATTTTCTTCCCTCGCTGACTCTCTACCAAGTATGATGACCTTCTGCAGGGACTGGCGCCTCCTGAGAACGTATCCGATGAAACCAAGTCTCACTTGTTCCAAGACAGGTGGGTTTCGTCTTCTGGCAGTCGATAGTCTCGCCAGCGCCCAATTCAAAGGCATCCATTCTTCTCTGCCCTTCTGTATTCATTGCATTCCGTATGCATTCACAGACAGCAGTGGAAAGCATCACTCTCTGAGTCGGCCACACTTGAGTCTTCGAAGGCACATGTTTGCCTGATAACATTTTAAAGAGGCCTTTTGCAGAAGATTTGCCCGATGCAATATGTTGCTTGATTTCTTAAAGGTAAACACCATCAAGTTGATTCTGACTCATAGCCACCCTATAGGATAGGCTAGAACTGCCCCTGTGGGTTTCCAAGGCTGTAACTCTTTAGGAAAGCAGAAAGCCTCCTCTTTCTCCTGAGGAGCAGTTGGTGGTTTCAAACTGCTGACCTTGTGGTTAGCAGCCCAATGCATAACCACTACATCACCAAGGTGACCAAGGTAGATGGGACACATGGGGGCTGCTCAAGCTGCCACGTGGCTCCCACAGCTACTTGGCAAGGTGGGAACCCTTGACCCAGGTCAGTTGAGAAGGGAAGGCTTGAGCTGAGCTATCCTGCAGAACCCAGAGGCCCAGTAGAGAGAGAGAGAGAGAGAGAGAGAGAGAGAGAGAGAGAGAGAGAGAACACCGCCCCCTGGTGGTGAGTCCTAGAAAGAGTTCCAACAGGGACCCAAACTGCCTACTGAGGAAAGTTTCCTAGCACGAAGTTCCTTCTCCTTACATAGGTGAGATAAGTTCTGTGTTTCACGAAAGCATTTGTGTAAGTGATTTTTACCAATGCCATTGAACTTGAGTCCCAATTATCTCTGAATCCATGTTGGCAGGGGGAGAGCATGTGGCTGCCCTCAGAGATAAAGCCAAGAGGGTGTTTGGGTTTGCCTTTGGAGAAAGGGAGTGGAAAATATGATGCATTGAATTCGAAGAGCAAGACTCCAGGGAGGATTCAGGATTCGGATGCATCCTTCCTTTGGGTGCAAATGGAGACGCGCATCCGTGTTCATCCTTCTCACCCTTGCTCAGTTCCGAAGCTACTGTGAGAACTCAAAGAGGCTGCCTGCTCTGCACTGGGAGCATCAAGAACAAGGGGCAATCAGGTGATGCTATGGGTACCCATGGGAGGGTGGCCGATGGCGAGAGTCAAAGGCCCGGGAGAGGAAAGGAGGCTGGATCAGGGCACAAGAGCACTGCCCCAATGTAAGAAGTCACGCAGATTATACCCAAAAGCTGAAAAGTGGAAACCCATGACAAGAATGGTTTCTTCTGCATGTTTTGACACAACTGCTGTGAAGGGGCATGTTTTCACTAACTTGTTAATTTTCAAAAATTGATTCTTTGGGAACCACTGGGAAGTATGCATCAGGACCAAGCAGTATGGCATCCAGGAAGTTACTCTATCTGTTACAGAGTGAGGAACTGGAGGGCTTATGTACTCCGCTTCTAGAATGCTTATTGCCTATTTATATTTCAAGTCCTGCTCTTCCCTGAGACATCCCTGAGACACTTCCAGGAAAGGTGTGTGTTAGGGTTGTATCCGCTCACCACACGCATTCAATCTAAATGCTGAGCAAAGCATCAGAGAAACCGGATGGTATGAAGAAGAATGTGGCATCAGGATGGGAGGAAGGCTTATGAACAGCCTGCCATGTGCAGATGCCATAACCTTGCTTGTTGAAGATAAGGAGGGCTTGTCGCACTTGCTGATGAAGAGTTAGGGTTGCAGCTTTCAGTGTGGATTAGAACTCAATCTAAAGAAGTCCAAAACCCTCACAACTGGACCGATAGGTAACATCAGGACAAATAGAGAAAGGGTTGACACTTCTAAGGCTATTGTCTTGCTTGGCTCCACAGTCAATGCTCATGGAAGCAACCGTCAGATCAAAAAGGTACATTGCATCGGATAAATCTGCTGCACAGAACCTCTTTAAAGTGTTGAAAAGCAGGGATGATACTTGGAGGACTAAGGGACAGCTGACCCACGCCATGGTATTTCCAATGGGCTCATAAACATGTGAACGTTGGGCATTAAGTAAGGAAGATGAAAGAAGAAGTTAATGGTTTATGATGGTGCTGGGGAAGAATATTGAAAGTATTATGGACTGCCAAGAAAACAAAGAAATCTATATCAGAAGAAATGCAGCCAGAATGCTCCTTAGAGGCAAGGATGGTGAAACTTTGTCTCAAGGACTTTGGACATATTGTTAGAATGGTTAGACCGGTCTTTGAAGAAGGACACCATGCTTGGTCAAGCAAAAGGGCAGTAGAGAAGACGCAGGCCCTTGGCGAGATGGATTGACACTGTGGCTGCAACAACAGGCTGAAATTTAACAAAGGCCTTGAGGGTGACACAAGACAGGACAGTTTGTCGCTCTGTTGTTCATCGGGTCGCAGTGGGCCAGAACCAACTTTAAGGCTCTTAACAACAACAACAGAAGACCTGAAGCAAGTTACTTCGCTGCCTGGGCCTTGGTTTTCTCATCACTAAATTGAGTGTCAATTTGAGGATTCAGAGTGTGGTCCTGTCAATCAGAGCCAACGAGGCCTCTGTGTGGGCATGGTCTTCTCCTGAGGATTCTGGGATTCCAGTATTCCTCCCTGGAAGTGGGAGACACACTCTCTCTCAACTCACTCACTGAGAGCTGCTCTACTGACAAGACACATGGCACTCTATGTTACAGTCCATGCCCTGGGAACTGGAGAAGTCACGTGGAGACGCCTGCCAGCACTGAGATGCTTACAATGCCACTGGAACCACAAGACTTTCCACCCACTGGCCTGTGATCTTCCTGCAGTTGGTGTCATCGCATGTGTTGCATGAGTCTGAAGAGGACTTTATAGGTTGGTATTGGACATATGGGCTAATAGCTGACTTATGGACTTGATCTGCACTGGGCTGGCATGTTTTCTCCATATTTGATTGCTCTTATCTATAAAGCTCTTTCTTATACACATACGCATGGCCACGAATTTGTTTCTCTAGTCTACCCGGACTCACACAGAGGCTAATTAAGTATGATAGGTTGTCGTGAGGATGGAAAGGGACCATGTGGACAGCCCACAAAGGCCATGTGTGACACCTTCTTTGGTAAGTGGTGACTGGGGTCGTAAAAGGTTGAGAGTTGCCATCTAGGGAGCAGCCATTGGCCTCTCCACATCTGGAGCAAAGGAAAGCGGAGAAGGCCAAAGGCACACGGAAACGACCCGTGCAATGGAACAACAGACTACGCGGACATCAGCCTCCTCTGTGGTCTTGAGACCAGAGAGCTAGATGGGACCCGTGACCACTGCCAAACACTCGGAAAGGGGTCGTATTAGAAGGTCCTGGAGAGAGTGGGAGAAAATGTGGAACAAGACACAAAATCCTACCAAAGACCAGGCTGACAGGTCGAATAGTGACTGGTGGAACACCCAAGACTATGGGCCTTAGTCAACCTTTCAGGGCTGGAGAGGAACTCACTCCTGTGATTCAATGTCCAGCTAAACGATAGACAGGTCCACAAGAGGAACAGAAACAGTAGCGGGGTACACACACTTTAAAACAATCAACAAGTGATCTAAAATCGATGGCGAGGAGGGTATAGGAGGCCTGGTGGGGCTGGATAAAGGGCAATGTAAATGAGAGGAATTACTGAAATCCGAATGAAGACTGAACATGATAGTGGGACAAGAGAAAAGTAAAAGGAAAGCGAGGAAAGGACTCGGAGGCAAAGGACATTTATAGAGGTCTAAATACAGGCATGTACATATGTAAATATATTTATATGTAATGATAGAGTAATAGATCTATATACATATATTTATTTGCTAAGTATTAAGGCAGAAGACAGACATTGGAACTCCACTCAAGTACTCCCTCAACGCAAGAGCACTTTTCTCTAATAATCTGGCATTCTGTGGTGCTCACCTTTCCTGAAAATCAGTATGGGTGCATAAGCAAATGTGGTGAAGAAAGTGGATGGTGTCCAGCTATCAAAAGATATAGTGTCTGGGGTCTTAAAGGTTTGAAGATAAGCAAGCAGCCATCTAGCTGAGAAACAACAAGTCCACATGAAAGAAGCACACCAGCCTGTATCATCATGAGGTGTCAATGGGATCAGGTATCAGGCATCAAAGGCCCAAAACAAAAAATCATATCATATGGGAACCCAAAGCCCATCTATAGGCAACTGGACATCCCCTTAAAGAAGACCTACAAGGAAGAGATGAGCCAGTCAGGGTGCAGCATAGCACCGAAAAAACACATACCTTTCCTTTATTCTTTAATCCCCCTGCCCCCACTATCATGACCCCTATTCTACCTTACAAATCCAGCTGGATCAGAGCATGTACACGGGTACAGATAAGAGCTCGCAACACAGGGAATCCAAGACAGATAAACCCCTCAGGACCAATAATGAGAGTAACAATACCAGGATGCCAGGGGGAAGGTAGGGGTAGAAAGAGGGAACCAATCAGAATGATCTACACATAACCCCCTCCCGGGGGGATAGACAACAGAAACATGCGTGAAGGGAGACAGCGGTCGGTATAAGACATGAACAAAATGATAATTTATAAATTATCAAGGGTTCCTGAGGGAGGGAGGGAGGAATAAACTGATACCAAGGGCTCAAGTAGAAAGAAAATGTTTTGAAAATGATGATGGCAACATATGTACAAGTGTGCTGGACACAATGGATGGATGGATTATGAAAAGAGCTGTATTAGCCCCCAATAAAGTGATTTTTAAAAGAGAGAGAAATACTTATGAACAATAATAAAATAATAAAAGGGAGTTGTGATATTGAAGTTAAAAAAAAAAAGATTACCTCGGGAACCCTAGCTGGGCACAGGCGACGTTCGCATAGAGACCTCTCCAGTCATCCGAGCACATGGTCTTCCAGGAAGCAGCTGTGAACACCTGGAGCACCGCATTCTGACCGCTCACCCGCACTGAGGAGGGGCTCCCATTAGTGGCCATTAGGCCACAGACAGGGATTCCCCGTGTCGTGTGGCCTCACCCATGCATGCAGCACTGCCCTCTGCTGAGCTACACTCATTTCCACCAGCTACTTCCACCCACTAGCAGGTTTCATTGTTTACATCTGTTATTTCTGCCAGGGTCACCTTGAACCCGTCTCCACTGGATTGAACCTGGTCCTCGTCTGCAGGCCCCCCTCTCCCTTACAAAGCAGTCGTGGTCTGGGCCCCCCGGAGACCCCTGGAGCTCTCTTATTATTGCTCGTGGTGTCTCCCCGATCAATCCAAGCTCTGTTTAGCGCCCTTCCCTGAACGCCCAGCACCCTGTCTCCTGGAGCAAATGTCCCTGGAATCCGAGTGGACGGTGTGACTGGACAGGGGTTTGGGCCCATTTCACAGGTGGGAAGGTGAGGGCAAGGCTTCTGCTGACCCGCTCGTCCTTCCACAGGGGAAAGAGCGACGTGGCCTACCGCATCGGTACTCGTCCTCCCCGTCTTTGCAGTCGGACACCCCGTCACAGCGGGCCGTCAGCTCAATGCACTTGAAAGACGACCGGCACCTGTACTTCCCCGAGCAGTCGAAGTGGACTGTGGAGGGAAAGAGGGAAGAAGAGGGGAAGTTAACGGTGTCCTCCTGATGCAGCATCACCGGCTGGCCAGGTCCTGAGGGAAAAGAATCGGCCATCTGCCACGTGACGTGGAGCTCGCCCATTAATAATGAAACCTGCGTTGAAATCCAGCCCAGTCCTCCGCCCGGGCTCTGTGCTGATCTCTAGCCTAAGTGGCCTGGTCTGGGAGCCACACTCCAGGGGAATTTAGAATCCGGAGGGTTCAAGGTCGAGAGTGAACTTGTGGGAGTGTGAGCTGACCAGCTGGCCCGCCGAGCAAGGAGCCCGGAGCCGGCCTCAGCCTCGCCCACCACTGTGCCCACCCCTCTGACTCTGGGCCAGGAGTGAATGACGTGCAGATCACACCGCGGAGCAGGTGGCAGGTTAGGCTGATCCGTGATCCAGATATTCAGAAGAGAAACTGAGGAACTGTTCCCAATTAGAGACCCTCCAAATGACCCACTTTCTCAAAAGCCACATGCACCCTACTTGAAGGATAGCTGGCATGGTTGGCATGGCATGAATGGGCTTCTTTGTCCCCTTCCCGCCTGCGGGATCCTATTACATCAGCTGCCTTTGGGCATGTCTCACCGGGCAGGTTCCTGGTGATGAAGACCCAAGCACAGCCAACAGCCCCCACTTGGCCCCAGACTGGCTTGATGCGCATGCGGGCAAACAAAGCAAAGCTGGCATACCACAAGGTTTATTTGCCCTGAGTCCTGAAGGCGGGGTGGTGGCAGCTTGCTGGCAGGTGCGGGAGGGAGGGGGGCTCAGGAAAGCTGAGGCACTTGGAGAGGTATTTGAGAGCCTGCTGAATAATGGATGGTACTCACTGCCCAGGCCGATGGCCAGCGCTAAGATCAGCGAGATGATCCCGATGACGATGATGGGAAAGAACTTCAGCGGCAGCAGAGACAGGATCTGGGCCGCCACAGCGTCTGCGTCTGCCACCCAGCGAGAAGGGAGAGAGCGGGAGACCAAAACGCATCGGTCATCTTTGTTTTAGTCTTAAAACGTAGCGTTAGAAACAGTCTTTCTCTGCTCAGAAACAGTCCCGACCCAAATGAACAAGTCGCCGTTGTAGAGATGCTCATCTCCCATGGTATCCTAAAAGTAAATAATCAGCGGGACACCCAAGAATGAATGGCCTCTCCTCATCCCAGTTGCTCTGCGTCCAGGACTCAGGTCCACGGCGCAGGATGAAGCACTGACAGTGAGGCAGAGGCTTTGTGTCCCTCCTCATTTGCCAGGGGTCCTACTGGAAGCCTCAGTGTCTCATCTCTTGGCTTTGTCCTATCCTCGGGGACCCACCTGGGCTAAAAAGCAAATGCCTAACCCCTCCCCAAAGAACAGAGCTATGTGATGCATACGCATGAAAAGCATTCAATCTCTGGAAATCACAAATTTTAAAAACCTTACACATGCCAACTTGGTAATGACTTTTAAAAATGATTCTGCCCACTGCAGCCCAAGGTGAGAGTTCATGGACACCGCTTTCCAATCCCTAGGGTGAGAAAGCAGGTCAACTTTCTGAGGGCCGAAGCAAACACATAGCAAGAAGCTTAAAAATGGACATAATTTTCACCTCATAGTTCCACTTTTAGGGATTTACCTAAAAATGTCATTCTAGATGTATTGTAACTCTTTGGCTACAAAGATTGCTGTATGTAATGCTGATGTGCGGAAAACAATTGAATGACCAACAAATGGGGGATGCTGAAATATGTGCGTGTGCGTGTGTGTGTGTGTGTGTGTGTGTGTGTCCCCTGGATTATGAATGCGTCCCATTCCTGAATCAGTCTTTGAACTGAATTTGTATGTAAGTCGGAACAGTTAACTATGGTTCGCATCTCTTGCTACATAGGCGAATGTTCGTCTCAGTGCACAGTACATATAGTGTAACTTTTGATGCATAAAAACACAAAGGAAATACTTGCAGATGCACTAAACCATCTCTGGATAGTGATAGCACATCACTAAGTGGCCTTATGAACCATTGTATGTTCCCTGATTTTATTTTATTTTATTTGTATTTTTGGTGAAAGTTGACAAAGCAAACTGGCTTCCCACGCAGCAAGGTGTGCACATTCCGTTTGCTGACAGTGGTTTCCGTCCCCTGGGCTCCACAGCACTCCTCCTCGTCTCTCACCAGCGTCTCCAGTGCCCTTCATCCTTTCCGGCCCCATGTGTCCTCAACTTTGAGTACACTAGGCTTTATAGGGGTTCATTGACGACTATGGGTTGTATGTAAATCAAACACGAGTCACCCGAGGACTGCCTGAGGAAGTGAGCATGAAGGATTAATAATTAAAGTAATTAAATAATAAAAATGGTTTTTTCGGCAAAGAACCAGATAGCACATATCTTAAATTTGGGGGCCGTATGTTCTCTGTCACACAACTGCTTAACTCTGAGTGGTAGCATGGAGGCAGCCATAGATGATGGTGAACCAACGGTGGCTGCATTCCAATAAAACTCTAATTATACAAGCAAGAAGGAGGCCAGATTTGTCCCATAAGCCATAGTCTGTTAGCCTGTGAAGAACATTTTATTATTTAGTGTCAGGGAAGATCAACATGGTATTGTCAAGTTCAAAAAAGCAAAGGCTTTAAGGTAGTGCACATACTGCATCTTAGTTCCAAAAGACAAACATAAATGCTTCAAGATAGTAGACTTTGTTATAAAGAAAGGCAAATAACCGTAATAAAGTATTCACAGAGTTGTCTCTGAGTAATAACATCCCTGCAGGTCATTGTCAAGGAGCTATTGAGCAGCTGCATTTTCTAGAGCAGCTCTGGCGGTATGGTGGTTACATGTTGCCAGATCAGCAGTTACAGTTGCCTGAGTTAGAATTGACTTGAAGGCAATGAGTTTGGTTTGGCACGTGTGCCATATATCGTATAGTACGATCTAATAAATACAAATGCACTGCCCTCGAGTCAATTCTAACTCATAGCAACCCTATAGTATAGGATGCAATGCCGCCGTGGCTTTCTGAGACTGTAACTCTTCACAGGAGCCAAAAGCCTCGTCTTTCTCCTGAGGACGGTTGGTGGTTTCAAACTGTCAATCTTGATGTTTGTATCCCACTGTGTAGCCATCACAACCAAGGCTTTATGATTAAGTGATTATGCAAATTATACACCAGATGAGCTGTTTGGATGCAGTGAAAAGAGATCATTATAAAAACCAAGCAGCACATGGAAAAGGTCCATCAATTTCTACAGCAGGAATCCTGGGACTTCCAATTGTGAATACCCTTGACTGCAAATCCTTTGGAGCGTAGTTTTACACTGGCACACAGGTGGTCAACCCCATGGCAACTAATATATATATGTAAATTTTTGCACCAAACAAATTCACAGGGAAAAATATTGTTTCATATTAGAACAAGAACAGGAAGAGAATGCATACAAATGTGAAAAACAGATAAGTTCTGGCGTCAGGCAGTTACAGGATTTTTTCTTCTTCTTTGTCTTTTTCTTTCTTTAACGTTTGCACCAATATATGTTGAGCTACCTGTTCTGAACACGTGTCTTTTTCTTACTAGAAACTTCTCTTTCTACCTCCCTCCTTCCCCTGCCCACATCAAATTGCCCAGGTTGTTCTGAATGAACCAACAGTAACCATCCATGCTTCCTGGGACCTCAGCTACAGCCCCATAGTATCCTTGCTCAGAAACCCAAGGAATCCGTTCCCTGGCTGCATCTGAGCCGGACTTCCGGGTCCAGCAAACCCTTGACACACTTGGGCAAACCCTGATAGATTCTTGCCCAAAGAGCCTAGTTGGATCAGCGTTACGGAGCGACTGTTTCCTCCAAGCATTTGTGACTGATTTACACAGCTTCTTCGATTGGTTGCCAATGACAGCTCTGTCACTTGGGGTTGGATTTTCATCTAGCATCTAATATCCTTTGGGATGCCCGGCTAATGTTAAGTTTTCATGAAGGGCCGTAGGACCCTGCAGGTGCTCCCTGGAGGACTCAGAGAGCGTCCTGGCCAGGATCGAGCAGCTCAGTCAACGCGGGTGGCAGCCCTTTCATCTAGCATCTCCCGTGACTCCCACCTTCTTGTAGGTTTGGGGAAGGACAGGACTGCTGGTTCTTAGCACCTCCTGGTGGTCTCCGAATGAATTCGTGGGCAGGACCTACCTTCTGACTGAGGGGACCATTGTGCAGCCTCATTCTCTGATGACCTTCAACCAGAGGGGAAAAACACTAACTTGTCGGCAAGCTGCTAAAGCCCAAGATCCCTCCTCAAAAGCAAGTGTGTCCTAGCTTGTGCGCGTGCAAACACCTGGGAAGCCAGTCCCTCGGAGACACCGCGACACGTTCCTCTGCTAGATAAAAGAGGCTAGGCAGGTATCTCCACACCCCACCTGGCCCCCACCTACCGGGAGCAACAGGACTGATTTTCAGATCATCAAGGCCGAAGAGCGATCGGAAGGAGAAGGGAGTTTCAGCTGCGGGTGGCTCATTTTCCCCCATGGTGACTATTTCTGGGCTTCTGAGATCTGGCTCCACTTCCACCTCCACCTCCTTAGCCAAGGGAAAAGAGAAATCATTTTCTTCCCCGCTGTTAGCTGTAGGGTTAAATGCGTCGGTCTCTTTCCCCCGTTCCACCGTAGCAGTCTGACAATCCACCGAACGTACTGGTGGATCAAATGCTTGTCTGGCGAGAACGTATCCTTTCCCCCCTCTGATTCACAAACAGATAAGAGAGAAGCCAAGCGACAAAGAAGTTAATTCCACTCCAATAACACTTTCCCCGTGGCTGGGGGACCCATCTTCATAGCAACTTCACAGCACACTGAGCACCGTGCCCTTTCGCCATTAAGTTTTTGTGTCATTGTCGATAAGAAAAGAAATCCGGTTTGCAACCATTCCTCGTCAGCCCCACAAAAACCCGGAGCTTTGCCTAGTAGACATCTGGAAGCATAAGACGGTCTTATACTCACATAATATCCACTCCCCGGGAGTGTAGACAGCGGCAGGGAAGGTTCACTCGACCGCGGTATGAGCCGTTTGCCGTGAACACAACCCTTTTCCTGGCTCACACAGGCATGACCTAATTAAGGATGAAAGTCTCTGTGCCCTTTGGGTGCCCAGTCTCCTCCTTAAGTAGCAAAGTGAGGAGGAGCGGCCAGGGACCGCCGGCTTCCAGTATGCCAACAAATGAGGCTCTGTTTCCTAAGAGAGAATTCCACCTCGCAGGCCGCCCAAGAGGCCAGCAGCCTGGCCGAGCAGGTCCTTAACAACTGAGAGGGTCGCCGGGCGAGCGAGGACAGGGCAGGATTCTCCCAGCCACGTCCTCCTCTCCTTTCCCAGGCATCAGCCAGGGGCTAGCATCTCCGAGGGCTCCCTGATGCAGATGACAAAGAGATGCTTGGAGGCTCCTTCCTTCCTGGCTCCCTGTGTGAGTGTTTGAAATGTGGAAAGGCGCTACTATGGCGTTTAAAACAAGCCTGATCTCTCTGCTCCTTCCAGGGCCATAGTGAAATAGACGTGAGAGTGGTGCGCTGAAAAGCTCCTTCCATTTCCACTGCGAGACTAGCCTGGAAGCACGCCTATCTTAGGAGGATGAACAGATGCGGTCTTTGCTGGCTGTGGGGCTCGCTGAGACTTGTCCCTCGCCAGCTACACGTAGCAACTTACGTCATTTAACTTCCTATGGAAGAGTCAGGGTCGATGGTTAAAAATGCTCGCTGGAGCATCAACCCTCCTGCGTAAGGAAGTCCTTCTTCTTGGGCAGCTAACGCACCACCGCCAGCAGTTATTTTTAGAAACAGGTGGTCTCCTCACCTCCCTTCTACTCACCATGTCTGGAGCCGCCATCATGAAAAGCAGAAAGAATTCCCTTTTTCATCATAAAAGGGTGTGCGATGGGAAGCAGGCCGCCGGCGAGTTCATCCGACAGGGCGGCACTTTCACCAAGCCACTCGGCCTTGTGGGCTCCACCATTGTAGCAAATGGCATCGTCACAGGAGTCGATGTAACCCAACCCAGCGGGAGCTATCATGTAGCCCCTGGTGGTAGGAGCACAGAGACCAGAGAGAGGGGAAAAACGCAGCTTCCCTTTAATTAGTAAGTAAGGTAAGCAAGCCTTTCAGAAACATCACAGAAGAGAATCGGATCGGAGGCGCTCCTTTGATGTACAAGAACAGACAGGGACAGCCCAGGGCTGGGCGCCCCGCGCACCAGAGGGGCGGGTGGGTCTCTTTGGTGCTGGTTTCATTTCTCTAGCTGCTGGGGTTCCCGGACAAAAGACAGGGAACAGAAGCACCTTCATCACAGCACTCCAGGGGCCGCGTTGCGTCCCATCCCACGGGGACCTCGGAGCCACATCTGCAGACAACTCTCTTGGAAGGCGCTTTCTCTGGAGAGGATGAATCCCTGGTGCTGGCTGTATAGACCCAGAGTGGCGCTAGATTGTGAGTCACACGGTTGTCAGCTGCCATGGACGAGGCTCGGACACCTGGGGACCTCCTGGACAGCTGTGAAGAAAACACTGCCCGGTACCTCGCTGCCTTCAGGACTGTCGGGGTATTTGACTCCATCGTGGCGATCAGATGCCAACCCACCTGAGGGAGGCTTTCCTTATTTTTGCTGACACTCCACGTTACCAAGCGTGGTGGCCGTTCCTAGCCATTGGCCTCTCCTGATAACGTGCCCCCCGAAAAATGAGACGTCTGCCATCCTAGCTTCTAAGGAGCCTTCTGCTTGGGTTCCTTCTTCAATGAGCGACTTGCTCTCTCTTCTGGCAGCCCCTGGGATCCTCCATGCCCTTCCCCAACACCACAGGGCAGGCCCTTCTGTCTTCCCATTTCATTGTCCAGGTCTCCCGGGCCAGTGGGGAGAGGTTAAGACCACCTTGGTCATTCATGCGACCTCTTTGTTGTTCAAAGCTCTAAAACACTTTCTTTTACAGCAGGTTTGCCCAACACAAACTGCTGCCTCTACTGTGAATCCATGTAAAAGGAGGACCCGGACAACTTCCATTTCTTTTTCACTTACCATGGTGTGGTCTGTTGGTCCGGTGGTGAGGATGACCTTTCACTAGTATACACATGAAGGAGAGCCGGGACGACCTTTCACTAGTATACACATGAAGTAGAGCCGGCTGGTGAATCAGACAGCCATGTCATCAGCACCTATTTCTTATAGAGGCAGAGGAAAGACAGCAGCAGCAGCACCCCCGGACCTCAGCGAGTGAGAAGGGCTGTGAAGAGATTAGGCTGAGGCAGGGGAAGGAGTGATGGGGACCGGGAAGCGAAAGAAGGCCCCTGGGAGGAGGTGGAATTTTAACTGAGGTTTCATGTACAGGATGAAGTGGGTTTGAGAACATAAGGGAAAGGCTGTTCCAAGCAGAAGAGCAGTGAAGGTCCACAGAAGAGAAAGAGTTGGCGCTCTCTGAGGACCCCGGGAGGGACAAGGAGGAGAGAGCAAGGAGATGAGGGTGGAGAGGCACATGCAGAGGTAGTGGTGGGCATGGGGCCACTGTGAGAGCGCTGCTGGCATGGGCTCTGTTTGACAGAAACCGTGCTGGAATGGAACAGGGAGAGGGCATCATCCACCTGGAGCTCCAGAAGGTAGATCCTCTCAGAGCCACAGATGATGGGGGACTTGAACGGGACAGATGGTAGGAATTGGATGGAGTGGGATTGACTTTGAAGGTAGAGCTGGCAGGATTTGCCCATTACAGGAGCCAAAGAGACATATGTTCCGTTTCCCAGTATCTTCCCACACACTTGTCAATGCCTTTCAGTTGAATGGCACGTATGAAAGCCAGGTATTTTTCAAGTGTAGACACTCTGCATGAAACTTTTCCAGCTACTCTCTCCAGTCCCTGGCTGTTTGCACTTAGAGACCGTGCCAGGGATGTGGAAGTCAATTGTCCTTGTTTCTGCATGTACATCATGGGTGAAGCTCCCAATGGGAGTATAGCTATTGAGGGACATAGTTCAGGATTTATTCTCATTCCTAAGCCCCAAAGCTGTCTACCTGCATAAGGATGAGTTTATAATAGAGGTTCCATATACATCAATGAGTTGGTGATTATGATTGTAGACAGGAGAACATGATTGAACAGACATACAGGTAAACAAGAGAAATCATAAAATGAAATGAACTCATATTTTGACATTTGTGTTACAGGTGAGTCAAAGTTTGAATCAGTGAACCAGGGGACAGTAGGGAGAGGCCCCATGAGGATGGTGGACTTACATAAAGCAGCCTTGTCAAAACTTGGTGTTGTCAGTCCTTCCCATTTTAGCTCTTTAGTAAGTGTACTCTCATATCACACTGTGGTTTTAATTTACCTTTCCCCTGATGACTAATCATATTGAGCAACTTTTCACATCCTCAGGAGAGATGTGCATTTCTTCTTTTGTCATGTGTCCACTTAGATCGCTAGTCCATTTTCAAACTGGGCTATTGGCCATCTTCTTATTGATCAGAGGAGTGTGTGTGTGTGTGTGTGTGTGTGTGTGTGTGTGTGGTGAATACTTTCACCCAGTCTATTGCTTGCCTTTTTATTTTAATTTTTTAATGTTGTGTTTCAACGTGCAGAAGTTTCAAATTATTGTGAAATCCAATTTGACAATTAATCTTGTATAGTTCATGGGGTTATTTAATGTCCTCAAAAACTGCAACAGCGATTTAGTTTCCCTCCAGACATTCTATTAGAAGTTCCGTGGTTTGGGTGGAAGGGTGCCTGTTATACTGTTTCGTTGCATGCTGTTAGAGTTCATTTTTGCATGAGAGATGAAATAAAAGTTGAAGTTCCCTCTTTTACCCAAATTGATATGCACCTTTCCAACATTATTTGTTGGAAAGATTTTCCTTTCTCCTGTTGGGTCACACTGGCCACTTCATTGGGAAAAAAAATCAATTAGACATAATTCGATAAGAAGGATTTCTGTGTGGATCGTTCTGAACTCTCCCATACCACACTATGGCAACCCAACTGTAAAGTTTATATGAAAAGGCAAAGGCCAGACAAAACAAGATAACTTCAGCAACAATTTCTGGAAGAGGGTGTAGAAAGTGCTACCCATAAATTATCTTTTGGTTAAAGTAAATCTCATTCTAACTAAGAACTTATATTTCGTCTAAAGACTTGTTGCTAAACAAGCAGTCATCTAAGTGAGGTGTCAACTAAGTCCACATGGAAGATGCACACCAACATCAGTGGCCAAAGGATTGTAAATCATGTAATCTGAAGTTAAAGGAGGGAATCAATCGTATCAGAGCCTAAACTGTGAGATTCTGGGTTTACAGAAGACTATGGAATCCAAGATGTATTTGTGAGATCTAGATAAGAATTTAGCTGCCGGTTAGTTCCCTCTATCCCTAATAGAGGAATGGGAAGAAACTGCTTACCAAACAGTGCATCGGAGAGATGTCACCCTCTTGAAGTTGTGTTATACAAGGGGTACCCCCAAAAAACCAGATTTTGCCCCCCAAAAACTATGTATTTAAAAATCTTTTTTACAAAACAACCATATCACCTTCAAAGT